TGCCCAATTCATTCACCAGAGTTCACTGGTGTTTGCAAGAATACTGCAAGAAGTTCACAATGTAGAATTATTTTTTCCTCCTAGTATTTTCCTCCAAGTGTAAGGGGGGGGGAACGATCAACTGAGTGTTGATCGATTGGTTGTGTCAGGAATTGACTGACCAGCTTGTCACCTTAGCCTGGTATCGTGGGCTGAGGATCACCCTGCCAGCTTTCATGCCTAAGGCAGAACTAGAACTCACAGGTTTCCTGCCTAGTCTCATGCCTTAACCACTAGATCGGGGGTCCCCAACCCCTGGTCCGTGGAACGGAACCGGCCTGCAGCATGCCAGAAACTGGGCCATGCAAACAAACAAAGCTCCATCCGCGGGATGCAGGCCGCACACGAAACCACACCCCCTCCAGTTTGCAGAAAAAAACTCTCTCCACAGAACTGGTCCCCGGTGCCCAAAAGGTTGGGGAGCTGCTGCACTAGATCAAAGTGGTTCTCCAAAAAATAAAAGAAAAGCTAAAATCTTGCAAAAAAATGTGTCATGGTCATTTGAAATCTTGTGCTCTTTGTCAATCCTATGTGTCACTGCCAAGTCAGATTCTGACAAGGAAAGGGACAAAGAACAGCCAGTTCCTGAATTGCTGGACAAACCACTCCCTCCCCGTGCAAGGGAACATGGTGAGATGGGCAGAGCAAAGGTGATCTGCAAGGCTCTTTGCTGGAAATGGAAACTCACCCTTCCAAATGACCAATATGGGGTTGCTTCTATTTAAGAAGAACAGTGAGCTCAAGCCTTTTCATTGGTGACAACCGTTTGTTGACCTACACCTGGTGTGCCTTGGCTCCCAACCTGAATTTTCACGTTTATGACTCTCGACTTGGACCAGCTGTCTGATCCTTGGGCCTGCTGTTTTTTTTTTAATTTGGATTCTTTCGCACGGCAAACTTCCTGGACTTTGGGGGACTTGATTTCTCTTGTCTGTGTGTGCATGCTTGCCCACACATTTCCTTTGCCACCTGTTTATTTGCTTTAAAACTTTCTAGTAAAATTTGCAAACCTCTCTGTAGGTTGCACGTGTGTGGTCTGAGACAGGACACTTTATCTTTTTTGGTTACATAAGCTTAAAAATGAAATTAATGTGTTTGGGGGATACTGTCTAGATAGAAAGAGTCATGATGCCAGCAAGCGTTATATAATTAATGCTGATTTGTGTGCTGGTCTTTAAAAGCCTTTGATGATGCTATAAGGGCATGCACAAAGAAGAATGATGGGAAATGCTATTGCACCCCTAGCTGATTTCTGGTAAATAGAAGACTCAGTACATAAGGCTAGTGGTAGCCTCATCAGAAAATTTAATGTTCTTGGAAATCTTCTGAAGCCACCAAAAGCATGAGCTAGCCTTATGTACTTAATATTAATTATCTTAATTAAACTGTCGTTCAGACCAGTGCAGTTCAGAACTGCAATCTGACAACGATGATATAAATGAGTATCCCAGTGATATTAACTAGTTCCTTACCTATACAATACAATATCTCTCTTTCCCCTCCCTTCATCCAGTATCCAAAAAGTCAAGTAAAGACATCAAGAGGAGCTTATGCATAGTATGATCAGCTTTAACCCTGGTTTGTTTATGATGAAGTTTCACCCATTTGCTTAGTAACCATATTCTATGGATTGTATGATTAAAGGAACCCTGAGGGAGGAACAATTTCTAAATAATAATAAGCTCAGCAGGGACACAATTCAAATATATTGTGGTCAACGAGTTTCTAATTCTACTGACCAAAGGAAGTTCCACAGTGTGTGAACTCTGCCCCTGACTAATTTTAATCCTTTAATAAAGTGTGATTATCAACCAACTAGAAAAGATGTGGTATTCTTCAAAGTTATATCTTCTGGCCACCATATAGCTGCCAACTCAAAATAATTTGCAACATTCAGCAAGCTATTATTTGAGCTACTAACCAGACTTCCAAATCTCAGAGCACTTCTCCAACCAGAAAAAGAAAAACGTATGAGTCTAGTCACCTCACAAGTGCTTTACTTAGTGGTCTGAAAAAAATTACTTGAACTACCTATATCAGCATGAAATCAGTGTTGTCAGGATGCTTTATTCCTTATGAGGATTACGAGGCATTTACAGCCTTACCACAGATGCTCAAATTTCTCTAAGGATGGTAGCCCAGAGCAGAGAACTAGCTATGACGGTCTCAGCTGTGACTTTATACTACCTAGCCAGGAGATCAGTCCATAGATTTAGAGTTGCTGAAACAGAGGACTCCATCCATTTTTCTCCCTCTAAATCTATTCAACAGTTTCAACAGCGGCTATGTACCGCCTGTGTACATAGAGCTTGAGTACCCCATTCAGTTTCCCAGCAATGAGAGCCAAAGTACAATCACAGAATTAACAACAAAACTGCCTGCTAAGGATTTTAACGTGACTTGACTGCACTGCTTGTTCTTACAGCCATCCACTTGCCATCTTATACATGATCCCATGAAAAGCCACGCAAGGAACAAGCAAGGCCTTCTACAACATAGCATTTCATTCTTCTTTTTAAAAACAATTATAATAAAGCACAAGTGTAACTAAGGCTACAATTTGGGAGAAACAATGAAATGGAGAGAAAGCTTCTTAACATTGCAGAAAGGGGTCTATATTTAAGTTTAATTTTATATCAACAATGGATATTATACAGATGTTTCCTCTATTTTCAGTCACTTAGCCCTTTTTTCCCCCTCACATTTAGATAAGTTTAATGACCATAATCAATCTAGGATTTTTTTCTTCACTGTATACCACTATCATTTTTCTTTTCTTTTTTTGAGTGCTATAGTTTTTTATATTTATTTAGAAATCTTAAAATCCTTGATCCTAACCTCCCTTTTTCTTTAATATATTTCTTTTATTTCAGTTAAAATCAACCCCAAAATGAATAAAAAAGGGTTTGTTGATACACCTTAGGCTGAGAATATCATCCAAATGAAGGAGGAGTTATGATAACAGGAATAAAAATATATAATATAGGGTGTTTACATTTTCAAGGTGTTATAAATGTACATTAGCATTTAAATATTTGACTCTTACAAATGCTACCAAATACCTGATAGAGTCAAAAACCCTTTGTTAGAACATATTTTATACATCAAATTTAATCTGCCTGTGAGAAACACATACATTACTTGAATAGATGCATACATGTTGGATGGAGAACTGGATGAGCCATATAAATATCAAATGTAAAACTTGCCAACATGGTGATTACATCTGAATAACAGAGTCAGGAATAAAACCTGTAGCCTTTAATTGCCCTTTGTGACAAGTGTTTTTCTGGGATTATCTTCAATAATTATCTAGATTATTCGTTTCTGGAACAGATAATCAATTTATGACAAGAATAAGTTGGTTCTGAGGATCTGTTCTGTCATTCCACCTGAGCTATTTTGTTTCTACTTTTGTTTCTTATAATGGGTATTTCTGGGAGCTGCGCTATAATTATAGGATTCCGTTGCAGACCCAGGTAAATTCAAGGTCCTGCAACATTTATAATCTTGAAAACAGCATGGAAAAGCTAGTTGATGATAGCACATTTTTAATGGATTTTACTATTTTAAAGCATCTATTTTGATGTATGTTTCAAGTATGTTCAACAGCTGAGTCTACAGTATATAGTAATTTAGAAATCTAAAGGAGCAGAATAAGGCTGGAAGAGCAAAAAGATTTATTAATTTAAATTTAAATGCCACCCAGCTCACTGTTCAAGCAACTCTGGGTGGCACAGGGCTACTCTGGGAGGCTCAGAAGGATCATCTGCCCCCCCTTGCTATCATGGATTCCTGGATTAACATTACTTAATTTGAGTATCATAGTTAGCTTCACTTATCCTGCTGCAATAACTGGTTATCTACTTGTGTCGATAAACATTTGATGAATTAGGATGTTCAGCAATCATATACACAGACAGAGGTGATTACTGATAGTCCAAAGAACAAACAGGACTCACTTGTATGAACAACTAGTACAGGTAATTGGTATCTGTAAAACAAAATGTATTATCAGGCTATTCCCTTGCTGTTTTCCTGTTATCAACCTCCCTACCAGTTACGAGGTAGAAATTTAAGATGCAATCATAAAGTTGCGAACCCCATGCCAAAGTGACCCAAAAGTCAGAAAATCCAAATAAACGAATTTAACACAACTCCCCATACAACAGCAACCCCAACTATAGTAAAGTTTCATTTTGGGAATGTACTTGAACAATCCTCAGAATTAAAGGGCAGTGCAACAGGCCAACTATTTTCAACACAGACCCACACAGGACTTCTCTGTTTCAAAAGCTGAATTTAAGGAAGTCTAGGGTGGAGCTGACCAGCCACGTGGCTCTCTGCCCCTCTATTTCTACAGTCCTCCTATAGCAAAGGAGAACATTCTGTCCCTGTGGAACCAGCCCCATTCATTCCCATCTTCACTCTTGGTCATTAGCAGAAAAATATTTATCACAAGTATTTCGTATTCACATTTTTGTGGTGAAGCCTTGGGGGAAGGCGTTTTTTGGTATGCCCAGAGACATTCTATTGATTACAAATGTCAAGGATTGACTGAGACCAGGACCAGTTCTGAGTCTATGTCTGAAATGGTATATAGGGTTTCCTGCCTGAGCAAGGGGTTGGACTAGATGATCTCCAAGGTCCCTTCCACCTCTCTTGTTCTGTTCTATTAGAAACCGGCTTAGAGACACTACGCCCTATCCTGGTTGCCTTCCTCTACTACAAGGAAGGATTCAGAGAAAACGTCGGGTCTATTTAGGCTTGGGCAACAAATAGGTTTAATAGGAGGCGAAAAATTTCTACCACCTCCCCCCCACCACCACCACCCCGATCCTTCAACTGTGGCGGGAAGGAAGCGCCGCTCCATTTCAGGGAACTTCCTCTCGCCTTAGCGGCGATGCGCCAAGTGGGAGAGGATGGGGGAAGAAAGTCAGAAAGCGAGGCAGCCGGCAAACCTTGGAGGAAGGGGGACTGTGACAGCTCCGGGCGATCCTCCGGGAAGGAGTCCAGCAGGCGCTTGAAGAGGCGGCCCAAGTCCGAGTAGCTGCGGTGCAAGTAAAGGACGTTCCGGTCCGACCACTCGGCGCGGATCTCAAAGAACTCCTCCTCGTCCCCGCGTCGGTTGACGATCAGCCTCCGGATGCCGTTCACCCAGCAGCCCCGCACGTACATGTTCACCAGCGAGGTGCCCTCAAACACAGCCGAGGCCATCCCGCCGCTGCCCGCGCATACCAGCCCGCTGCGAGGGGACGGCGGAAATCCTCCGTCCTTCTCCAAAGCCGCTCGCCGTCAGGAAAAGGGAGCCACCATGGTCGAGCTGGGCGTCGACGGCACAAGGCGCTGCCTTCAAGCTCCGCGCAGGGCGGCCACAGGCGCCTCCAGCATTCTTCGCCCAGGCGAAGGCGAGGAGGGGAGGGCTCAGCCGTCCTCCTCCTCCTCCTCCTCCGCCGCCGCCGCCGCCGCTTCCACCCTGACTACAGTTGCTTTTTGCCGCCACCGCTTGCTAGTCACAAGCGCGGGCTGGGGCAGAGGAGCTGTCGGGCAAATCAGACGGACTTCTGCTTTTCAGGCCGAAGGGTGGCGTTGCGTTGCATCTGTGGCTTTGACGCTTCTTCCTTCCCCCCCCCCCCTCTTTTGCAATCTTCCTGAATGTTTGGGAGGCAGGGCGAAGATTTGGGGCCGAATTAAAAAAAAAAAAAAAAGCACGCGCGCCCTGACAAGCAAACTGGGCGTTTAGGCTGCGGGCTTCTTTTTTCCTGTCCGAGATTCAACACGTGGAAGGAAAAAAAGAAAAGGAGTGGGGGTGGGGGCGGAAGACGCAAACGGCACCCCGCTCCCTGGAATCTAGTCTGTCCGACTCCCTTGGCAGGGGAGGTGCTAGGCGGGGAGTTCTCGATCGGATGTTGGCAGAATATCGATTTTTGGCAGAGGCCGGCTTTTTAAAACGGTCGTGACGCAACAGCCCGAAAAAAGCAACAACAACGGATCAGTTTGCTTGCTTACTGGAGGAAGAGGATTGTGGTGAATCGTGGGCAGAAAAGACCGCCGGGATGCTGGCTTTTTCCTGTCGTAGATATCTCTTGCCCCGCGGGGCTGGGGAGGTGAAATTTAACTTCTCCGTTTCCTTGCAAGAAAACTCAAAAGTGGGTTTTCCGGAGGAAACCAGTCGATCTTTCCCGCTTCGGAGAGACCAATATAGTCTCCAGTGAAGCAACTGGCGCGTCTCCAATTTACTCGCCTCCTTTCCGCTGAGCGCGGGTTAAACCGAAGTGTCAAAGAACCGGAGCGTGGCGCAGATATTACACGTGCAACTCCCACCCCGGCGAGGGTTATTCGGAAACGGGAGAAGTGAAGTCCTAAGCTCTGTCTGCAACAGCTGGAAAGGACCGATCAGATCTGGGTCCTAATCAATCCAGACTCGCAAACCATAGCTGGAAAAGGCAAGTACAGGTAGTCCTAGACTTAACAACAGTTCGTTTAGTGACCATGCAAAGTGACAACAGCGCTGGGAAAAGTGACTTAACGACCATTTTTCACAGTTACACCTTTTGCAGCATCCTAACGGGCACATGATCAAAATTCAGACACTTGGCAACTGGTTCATATTTATGAGGATTGCTGTGTCCCGAGGTCATGTGATCGCCTTTTGTGACCTGACAACCAAGGTCAATGAGGAAACCAGATTCACTTAACAACCTGATTACTAACTCAGTAACTACAGTGATTCGCTTAACAACTGTGGCAAGAAATGTCGTAAAACAGTAAAATTTACTTAACAAAAGTCTCACAACAACAGAAATGTTGGGCTCAGTTGTGGTCATAGGTCAGGACTACTTGTACCAACTATAAAAACCGGCCCGTGCTAAATCGTCCTCATGTACAATTATGTTAAATGGAGCAATTCAGTTCTCCTTATCCAAAAGATTGACCCAGAAAGAGCGTGTACCAGAGTCAGCTTCAGGTTGGCTAGACTTGGGTCCAGTGGGCCCCCTCTACAATCAATGGGGACGCGGTGGCGTTACTTAAGATTGAAAGATGGCAGAATGTTAGACTCTTACAGCACAGTATGTGTCTTCAAGTCAGGAATAACTTCTGGCTACTGCCTAGTCCCAGTTTACTTGGCAGAATTTTTGGAAGCTGTTTGCCATTCCCTGCTGCCCAGGGTCGAGAAACAGTGACTGGCCCAAGATCATCTAGCTGGCTCCGTGAGGGACTAGAATTCCTGGTCTCCTGGTTTTTAATCTGGTGCCTTAACCACAACACTAAGCTGACTGTCTACGCTCAGAGGACCATCTCCTAAACATTGGTTGCCTGAGTTGAAACAGTGTCTTCCCTGCCTGCCTGGCATAATATCCAACACAGTTATTTTGGGTCCTGAGACCTAATCCCACAGCAGTTCCCCTACCAGTTAAAAGGCTGTAACAACAATTATCAGTTAGCTGCTCTTTTCATGACATCCAACATCTGCTGACTGCTGCAGATACCACACTGTCTAATGTTAGGATCAGTGTTGTGCCTTGCTACCACTTTAAATTCCTACTGTGGCCTGATTAAATAGAAGCTCTGCCTATTCATCCAGCTCTGTTTGGAAGAGAAGATGGAAAAAAGAGATCGAAGCCTATTCTTAGGTCCAAACACTGGGCTTTTCCCCAAAAGCCTGGTGATGAGGCAAAGCCTGCAGTCTTCACATGATGGTAGGCTTTGCCTTCAATTTACTCAGATGCAAATAAATCTTTGATGCCTGTGCTGGACAACTTTTTTCCCTCTTTCCCCCAGCAAAAGGTCACGTCCAGAAAAAGGATATAGGTAGTCCTCAATTTACAACAGTTTACTTAGTGACCTTTTGAAGTTTCAGCGGCACTGAAAAAAGTGACTTGTGACTGTTTTTCATACTTGCAACCGTTGGCAGCATTCCCATGGTCACGTGATCAAAATTCGGACATTAGGCAACTGGCTCATATTTATGATGGTTGCAGTGTCCTGGGATCATGTGATCAGCTTTTGTGACCTTCTAACAAGTAAAGTCAATGGACAAGTTAGATTCACTTAACAACCGTGTTACTAGCTTAACAACTGCAGTTATTCACTAACAAGAAAGGTCGTAAAATGGGGCAAAATTCCCTTAACAAATGTCTCACTTAGCAACAGAAATGTTGGGCTCAATTGAGGTCCAGGACCACCTGTAGTTGATATCCACTAGTCTTGAACCATTGGTCCACCCGAAAATGCATTCTAAAAAGCAGTGGTTGCAGTCATGCCGTTAAGAGCAATACTTAAGTAACTTTTTTAAGGAGCGTAAAATACATTCAGTGCCAGAATCCCATATGGGACAATCCATTCTGAGGTTCCACTAATATTAGCTGGCAATTGGACTGCTTCCTGATGGATTGCAGTCTATATTATTATTGGAAAAACTTATCAATAGGATTTTCTTACTCGGTATTAAGCTACAAGTCAGCTCTGTAAGGAAGCCACTTTTTCATCCTTCTGTTCCTTACGGTTCCTTACGCATCAAGAGGAAATGCAATAAAAACTCTGGGAGAAGTTCACTAATTGTTTTTAAACACATGTTCTGCTTGAAATTAACACATACGAAAAGAAAAACTCTGTGGCCTCATTTCGAAGCTGGGAAAGAGTTATGCCTTTGCTCAGTGCTTGGTGCCACCGACCCACCACAGACATAATTAATGGAGGAAGTAAAGTTTTTCCGTCGTCCTCCTCAGGCTGGATTGGAGGAGATGCTTCATCAAACACAAGCACAGATGTCTGCTCTTGGCTCCAGGATCCAGCTTCAGGAGAGAGACAGATTTTACTTTTTTTCAAATTACGTTGAGGAAAATCTGACGTGCGAAGCTGGGGGCTGCAGAGCAAAACCTCTGGAGGGAAGACTGGGCTGAAAATGAGGACATGGTGAATTGAGGCCTTGCATCAACTTCTCCAGAAAGCAGCCTTGGACCAAAGCCCAAGATGATGCAATGCTGTTGGAGCGACAAAAGTTTTGGCTGCGAATGCCAGTGTTTGACAACAGTGGTAACGAGGGAGAAGAGGAAGTCAAAGGGTTTTGCTTTTGAGCAAAGAAAGCCACATTGGGGAATGGAATTGGGGGGGGGGGGAAATGCTTAGTTACATTTCTTAAAATTGAGTGGGATGGTTTTATCTCTGCCTGGAAAGAATGGGGTGGCATTTCAAGAGGTTTGGATTGTTCCCTGTTGATTTTAAATCTGATCCTGAGAAGGCACTTCCTTTCTACAACCAGATTGCTCCAACTGGGGGCAATTATATTACATTCCATAAAAGATAAGGGATGGTGTCTGTTACATTGCTGTTTGGCTTCATGAATATCCTTCAAGTTACAGAAAATTACGAATATTTGTAAATTATATAAAGTTGAAAAAGTAAGCCAGGGATATTCAGACTGGCAAAATATATTTCTAAAAAAATGACTATTGTGAAGCAGATGAGTTGTGAAAAATCGTAATCCCCTTTCACACATTTCATTTTTTAATATATAGTACTTTTACTGCAGCTGCTGCAAATTCATTTTAATGTGCACTACAGTGTTTGAAAAGCAATTAAAAACCTTCTGAACTATATTTTTCTTTCAGTTTTAATTTCAATTTAGAAACTTACCCCAGTGTGCACTTAATCAGGGTGCAAAGATGGCTTAATAGCCAAAACAGCCTCCACCCGCCCCCCCCCCAACCTCTGTAAGATTGTTCGTATCTTGTCCTCAGCCCATAGATGAGGCATACTTAAGTCATCATTAGCTGTACTGGTATCGAAACCATATTTGCCTTTTTATTTCATCTTGCTACATTACAAAGATGTAAAAAGATATAAAAAAATCTGTTATACTTTGCCAGCTATTGTTTTGGAGACAAAATCAGGTGACCAGTAATGAAGTTGACCTCTTTGGGAGGGCTGAAGCATATCCTGTCCTTTGGTCACTGATTGTTGTCTTCCACTGCTTTTCCAGCTTTTGCTGGCTTCCCAATTTTCTTTCTTTTCTGTCATTTACACCACATTCTGCTTTTCATATCAACTTCTCCACAGACTTCCCTTAGGGCAGGGGTACTGCCGGCCGGCAGGCCGGATGTGTCATGGTGAAACCGCGTCCACCCCATTGCCGGCAATGGGGGAAAAAGTCGTGAAACATCGGACACGTCACATGACGTTGTGAGGTTGACACCCCTGCCTTAGGGTAAAACAGTTTAATTTAAAGAAAAATAGGATATGTATTTGTACGTATTTACCACTTTCGCGCTATTTATCAATTTCGATCATTCCCTTCACCCACGAGTATAAGAGATTGTTGCCCACCAGCTAGACTTTTTTTCTCTTATTTTGCAGAACACAGCTAGTTGCAGTCTATGATGTCATCTGATAGGTTTCTTCACTTCACACTTATTTTAATTTGGGAGATGCCCCAGTCTGGAGAAACTGGAAGAAGTCTTGAAGTCAGACCTTCCCATTCATTCTGACTGATGGATGCTATCCCTGCTGACTGGTAGCATGTTGGGGGGGGGCAGCAAAATCAGGGGGGAAATCAATCATTTTTCTAACAGCAAGTGGAGAATACCATTCAGCAATGACTCAGAAGAGATACGATAGAGGCACAAAAGGA